TCAACGATTATCTTAATTAAACTTTAGATTTTTATATTTAAAATGTGATGCTTATCTTGTATATAATTATGTTTATCTGTAGTTAGTTACACGAATTCAAAAATAGAGGTCTAATAAGTTGTATTTATTTATAATTACTTGTAATCCTGAATTTTAAGTAATATGAATCAATAAATAGTATTTTATGCATAAAAAAATGATTTTTAAGAGCTTTTGTCAAATGTTATATAATATAGTATAAATATATGAATTCAAACCTTGAGTTTTAAAAAGCACTTATACACAACTTATTTATAACCTTGAAATTAAGTAATACACATCAATAAACAATATTTAATGCCTAAAAATCAGTTTTTAAGATATTATCTCAAATAATTTATAATATAAAATAGATATACTTAAATTTTAAAAGATTATGAAGAGTATAAAAATATTTATAAAATATTATTAAAGATAACAATAAATTCAAATTAAAAATAATTACAATTATTCTATAAACATATATAGAAAAATGAGGTCATGGTCATATCATATTATATTTGTAATTAAATTAAAGTGATTAATAAATAAATATAAAATAAGAGAAAGAAAGCAGACATGGTCTCCAATCCATTCTCTCCCTGTGGTTTTCCCCTGGTCATGTCCTCCATTTCCATTCCCATTCCCATTCCTATTTTCCCTTCTCCTTTCTTTCTTTCTTTCTTTATAATACACCCATTCGCCTTTTCCACCATTTCCTCACCATAAACCCTATTTCTCTTGCTCTCCTTTTTCATTTTGATTATGATGATGATGGTGATGGAAACCGTCAAGAGTTTGTTGATTATGGCTGTCAAATGAGACCGTACTTCAATTTTTGGCGGGAGGTGAGCTTTTGCTTTATTGCTCTGTGTTTTTGTTGTTTGATCGAGTAAATTTGGCCAAAGGTACACGTACGGTTGGTTGGTTGGCTGTTTCAAAGCTACATTCTGTACCGCAATTGAATGCTGCAGATATTCCTGTAGCTAGGGTTTTAATTGTAAGGAGCTTGATTTTGGTTGGTGAGGTGTGTCTATAACAAGTAACGCCGATTTGATTTGCTCTACAATTTATGGCTTCGAATCATCCATCTTTGGAAATGCTGCAAGAGCCGAGCATTGACACTGATAAGCTTAGCTACGAGATTTTCTCCATTCTCGAGAGCAAGTTCTTATTCGGCTACGATGATCCTAAGCTTTGGAAACCTAAACAGGTTTCTCCCCAAGTTTCTGTCACGCCGACACCGGTGGCTGTGGGAGATGATAACGGTGTTCAAGCCATCAAAAATCAGAGAGGAAAAATCTGTGTGCTCTCCATCGACGGTGGAGGAATGCGGAGTATTTTAGCTGGAAAAGCGTTAGCTTATCTAGAAAACGCGTTGAAGGTCAAGTCCGGCAATCAGAACGCGAGAATAGCTGATTATTTCGATGTGGCAGCCGGTACCGGAGTAGGAGGCGTCTTCACCGCGATGTTGTTCGGAAGCAGAAACAACAGCAGTCCGATTTTCAAGGCGGAGGACACGTGGAAGTTTCTGGCGGAGCAAGGGAAGCGATTGTACCAGCCGAAATCAAGTTCCGGCAGCGGCAGAGGTGAAGGTTTTTTGAAAAGGATTCTCCGCGGCGGAAACAGTAGCGGAGGAGTGACTCATGCGACGGCTGGATTTGAAAACGCAATGAAGGAAGCTTTCACCGTCAATGGACAGAGTTTAACATTGAAAAACACACTAAAGCCTGTGTTGATCCCTTGCTACGACCTCTCCAGCTCAGCTCCATTTCTCTTCTCCCGAGCCGACGCTTTGGAAACAGACAGCTTCGACTTCCGTCTCTGGGAGGTCTGCCGCGCCACAACAGCTTTGCCAGGGTTGTTCGAACCGGTGTCGATGAAGTCCGTCGACGGAAAGACACGTTGTGTGGCGGTTGACGGTGGTTTAGCCATGAGCAACCCTACGGCAGCGGCAATCACGCACGTCCTACACAACAAGCAGGAGTTCCCATTCGTGCGAGGGGTGGAGGACCTTTTGGTACTTTCGTTCGGCACCGGCCAGCTTCTAGAAGGGAACTACGATTATAATCAAGTCAAAGGGTGGAAAGCTAAAGACTGGGCTCGCCCCATGGCTAGAATTTCCGGTGACACCTCCGCCGACATGGTGGACCACGCCATCTCCATGGCGTTTGGTCAAAGCCGTAGCAGTAATTACGTCCGCATTCAGGTATGTTCCCTTTCCCTAAATCTTTGTGTTGGTCCATATTTGTTATTAGTCTTTAAATCATATGTCTTGTTAGATTTTTACTCAAATTTCTTGCCAGACTCATCAAACTTTAAGCAATTGTTTTTGGTGTTCTGTTTTTTTTTTCCATCATGCAAACGGAAATTACAAAAACAAACTTTTCGAAAACTAACGATTTTGACCAAAATGTCGAGCATGAAGTTTTTTTTGATTTTTTTTCCATAATTTGTTCAAGATTCATCATTCTAATAGAATGTAGCTTCTCCTTTCTTTTCTTTTCTTTTGCTTTTCTTGTAAAAAGTTTCGTTCAAACAAAAAACAAGTTTTGAAAGCTAACCACTCATTTGTACTAAAAGCGTTTGGTAGAAAGATGATTTGTCTCGTTACTGTTCAAAATGACTTTAAAAATGATACTTTAAATAAAATATTTGTGAGACCAGCTTTTTTTTGTTTGGAACGAAATAAGCATAATCTTATCCTATATGGATTCATATTTGCTTATAAAAAAGAAATGTTTTTTGTTCATACCCTCATATTATTTTTCAGTTACTGGGTGCTTCTGGGTTCAAAATTATGTACTGCAAAACACACCCACAATCTTAAACCCTTGAACTCCGAGATGGTTGACCCTTTGGTGCTTTTGGGTTCGTATAAAGTTATTACCACAGGCCGTTCTGTCACTGACATCTAGTGCATACTAACACTAATGAAAGACCATTCTATCAAATTCTTGGCATTGCTCATTTGAAGCTCAACATGCGACTATGTGGGTTCACCTTTGTTTGTTTGTGGGTATAGTCGTGGATTTAATATTGAGAATGCCACTAAAATCTTACAAAAAGTTGACATTACTTGGGAAGGGAGTAATTGGTATGGTCCTATAGGGAATGATGGTGCTTTGTTTTGTAGTTAACATGCCTTGGTGTTGTTTTTTAGGCTACTGCAATTAAATATGGAGAATGGGTGTGTGGCTATTCTTCCAGAAAATTGTTTTTTGTATCATTCGATGTCTCCAGCTATTCAAGAGCCAATCGGTGTGTTTTAGAGCATTTTGTGTGTGTAGCTTTCTTGGGACAGAGAGGCAAAACCAATATTATTTGCACCAGGACATTTAATTTTTCTAGCCCTTTCTTGCAATGTGGGGCCATGTTCTAGGAGAAAACTGCAAAATTGATTGTGGTAGTGCTAATAATATCTATCAATTGGGAGTTTTTAACAAAATATGAAGGTATTTTGTAAGCAAAATAGAATGTGAGAGTTGTACATCCTTGGGTCCTATATCACTCTGATTCTTTTAACTATTTGACAATATTAATCCAAGAGTATTCAATTAATCTTTCCTTAAACTACCCCAATTCTATATTTCTGACCATGATTGAAGTTTAAGACTGCATAGCTTACAAGGGTAAGAATGGTATAATGTTTTATAATTACAACAAATGAAATACAATAATTATATTTCTATTTGTCATTAAAACCTTAAAGAACCAAATAATCAGGGGGGCCAAATGAAATCTAGGTACTGTATGATTACCTTTTGATAGTATTTAATTTTCCCCCCAATAGTAGCATCTCTTATGGCCAGTCATTCAGGGTGTTGACATTTACCTGTCATAATAACTAGTTATGAAATGGGGCCTGGTAATTGCCAATGGCCATATATCCTTGTTTTGGTATTTGGCTGCCATCTTAATGAGGGTTGGGAATTATCATGCATGTTTCATGATTATTTGCTGTCATACCCAAGAGGTTGGCCTAGCAATCCGCTATGGCTGTCATATGGACAAATTTTCAGTCCAAGGGTTTGGTCAATCACCGGGACTGGTGCTTTATGAATTGGTTGCGGGTTTAATTCCCGCTAGGTGTTTTATCAACTCTGGAAGGCCTAAAGTTTGCTAGAGTCATGTCGTTGCTTGGACCTTGTAGACTAGTTGAGTCAAATATATCAGTTACCATGGTTATTATAAAATATGGATCAATTTTTATTTTATTTTCTCTTGTTTTTGGCTCATGTCGTTCATCTATTAATACAATTTTAAACTTGCAGTTCCTTTGTTTAAAATTTTTAATCGTTTAAGATCATGACACACAGATTTAGAAATGTGACTATCGTAATCATCTTTTTAATTGCAACAAAACTTTATCACGTTTTTACCCTTCTAACATATGCAACATTTTAACTTCATAGAGAGATAGATAAGGGGTATTCAACAAAAAGTATCATTTGGTTGCTCCAAGATTAGCTACAGAATAATGTTGTGAAAAAGATAAAAATCCCACAACTTAATCGAATTGAGAAAGTTAGCTTGATATGGATTGACAATTTCTCCGTTCCTAACTTTCTTGTGACTTATTTCATCTTTTTGGCAGCATGTGTTAATTTATCCTTCAATCCCAAAAAAGCAAGAATGAATGACCAAACCCAACCCAATTTCTTTTCATATGATCCTGATTTAAATAAATGTGTAACCGTGACTAAATCTCTTGTCGTGTTTTGATTTTTTCTGTCTTTTTTTTTAATAGGCAAATGGATCGGATATGGGTCGATGTGGGGTGAATGTTGATTCTGATTGTAGCCCCAGCAATGTAAAGTTGTTGACAGGAATAGCTGATGAAATGTTGAAACAGAAGAATGTGGAGTCGGTGCTGTTTGGAGGTAAGAGGATCGGTGAGCAGAGTAATTTCGAGAAACTTGATTGGTTTGCAGGAGAACTTGTATTGGAGCATCAGAGGAGGAGTTGCAGGATAGCTCCCACTGTTGCCTTTAAGCAAGCTACCCCCAAACCCATATGAACAAATTCTTCATCAAGGTATGTTACCATTTTCTAAGGCTTTGAGTTCCATTTGAGACATTAGCTTGGGGACCATTAGATATCTTTTAATTTGTACCCAGAAAACACCATTAATTTGTCTAAAAACGTTATTATGTTCACACGCACCTGTTAAAGTTAGACCACTCTAGATGGGGGGTCCTTTTGGTAGTGAAAAATGCACATGCTAACGTATTCATGTCTTTTTCTGCACTTGTCACTAGAACCAAATGTTACTTATAACTACCAGTGCAATAGAGAGCTTAGGGTGCCCTCTCCGATCCAACACATTGATATCTTGACCAGGACATTTATGTCATTTCATCAGAATAATCTTGAATCGTTTGTGGGGAGGAAGAAGGGATTGAAACATACACTCCCTCCTCCCAGGGACTTGTCTGTCATTTCATCAGAATAATTTTGAAAAGGATGAAGGATTTAGAATATAAGTGTATGGTACCCCCACCCCAGGGATTTGTCTGTAATCCTGATGGAGAACAACCTTTCTCTTTTTGTCCTTGAGTTTCAGATTTCCTTTTTGACCTCCACCGACAAAGTTGAGCGTTTAATTTGTAGGACCATGATGAGATTTAGAGGGTATTTAGGTAAATTCAAAGATGAAGAAACCGGTTGCTTAATGTTATTGAATTGGTGGAAGATTAGGCTTGTAACTAAATGTGATCCATTGTGAATGCAGGGCAAAGGGAAAGGGGATGGTGGTCAAAAAGGGAAAAGAAGTAAAGTAGTATGTATACCAGCCTTATGTTGAAAGAGAAAGAGGGACAGGTAAATTGACTGAAAAGGACACTCGACTCAACTGTAAAAAAAACAAGAAAGAAAAGGAAAGGCAAGGCAAGGCATGGTTAGGGGGTAAGAACAGCCATCGTGGTCTCCACTCTATCTTGCTTTGTCCTTTACCTCAAGAGGGAGAACAAAATAAAAGAGGGCAAATATGGAAAAAACAAACAAAAAACAGCCAGTGACTGTGTGTGTGTGTGTGGGGAAGTCAAGTCTTGGAATGCTGAATGGAAATTTGAGGCTCATTTTTAGACTTGCTGCTAATTTGTGTTATGGATTTAGATTTTGATTGAAGGAGTAGTTGATTATTTTCAAGAAAACCCTTTTAATTTTGTTTAAATTTGTGAAATAGAGACAAGTGGGGGTGGGGGTATCATGAAAAGCAACATGCCTTCCTGTGGGATCCCACAAGATTTTACTAGATTTAGAGGTTTTGTTGTTCTTTGGTCATGTTTATTATAATAGTGGCTGGTTTCATTTGTTTTAAACAACTTTTTAGCTCTCCTTTTTTTATGCTTGTTTTGGCCTCTTCACAATATCATT